GGAAGCCTTCTGAAATATCAACCACCACCACCCTAGACACAGGATGGAGTGGTGCAGCCTGGAATTATACTACCTTGGATGGTTGGGGAGAATCTGTGGTCCACCAGACATGGCTGGACTACAGTTCCCATCATCCCTTGCCACAGGGGCTGGTTGGGAGCTCAGCAACGTGCAGAAGGCCGCAGCTTCCCCATCCCTGTTGCCGTGCAGAAGCTGTAAATGGCTGCTTTCTACATAGTCCTCAGGGTTGTCTCCTGCATCATGGGAGTGAGAGCCTGTGTTTCTTTGCAACCAGAATACCTCTCTGGCTCCTGTTGGCACCAGTCTGGGGCTCTAGCAGCACTGGACATCTGGAGAGTCAGCTTGAAAGAGCGGATGCTTCATCTTTGCAGCACAGTGCCCCCCCCTTTGTTTCCAAATGTTTAGCTTGAGAAGGCAATGCAAGGGAGAGGCGGACTGCATTTGCAGCCGGGACACCAGGCATTTTGTAGCTGGAACACTAGCCTTAAAAAAGGGAAAACTCTGAAAAGGTGTAATGCTTCATCCACACTCTTTTGGAGGCCTGGTTCTCTCCCCATCCTTTTCAAAAACTGCCCCAAATCTTCTCAGTTTCATCTTTCATGGTTCATAATCAAACACTGCAGCAGCCACAACCAGGGACCTGTATTAGTGACCGTTTGGGGAGTATTCCCTTCTGCTCGAATGTCATCTCCAAGACCTCTTGCTGGTAGCTTGCAACAGACTGCATTTTCCAAGCTGCCTCTCCCCTGCTCCAAATTGGGGGGGGGGGGAAGGAGGGAATTTGGCACCCAACCTCCCAGATGCTGCTTAAGAAAAAATGGGATTTGGCACCCGGTCTCCCAGCTGCTGGTTGGGTCAGGCCATTTCAGGAAGCCATTTAACCACAGCCCCCTGGCTCCACTTCCCTTTCTAAGTATTGCCTCCCCAGCGACCGCAGGCGTGAGAGATTTCAAGGGGCTTCTGGCTGTTAAAAACCATATTTAATTTTATTTAAGAAATTAAATACAGTTGGATTAAAATTTGAACAGACAGTGCAGCTTTAAAAAGAAAAGAAAAGAAAAAAGAAGAACAAAACCAAACCCATCATCCTCCATCTGGACCTCTTGCTGCTCACTCAAAGCACCGGCCACCATCCCAGCTCTCAGAGCCAACGTGCCCCTGTTTGCATCCGTGCCCAAGGCCCGAGTCCCCGCTGTCAACAAAGAGCAACTTTGCAAGAAACAAGCAAAAAGGATGGGAGTTCCTTGGGATGCATCCTGTTGATTCCTTTATTTATTTTCTCCATGATTTGCTGCAGCCTGGCAGGGTTATTGTTTTGCCGTAAATAAAACAGACACATGCAAATAGGAGAGGACAGCCATTGGGAACAACTCCTGCATTGTAAAATCTAAAATCTGGTGGGGTTTTTTAAAAAAATAAAAAAATAAGCAAAATGCCTCTCAATTCCTCCCCACCCACCCCCGCCCTCCTTTTGTAAGCTAGATCTGGGCTGTGTTTTAATTTTATGAAGGCTAGGGACTCCTCGTCACAGAGGGGAAGCCTACATGAGCAGTTCTGCTGGACGTTCAGATTTCGCAACTGTTGAGTTCTGGATTTTAGTAAAATAAAAATTTTAAAAGGCAGAGTTTTTCATAGTTGGAAACAAAAGAGCCTTCTTGGTTTAACGGCTTGTTTGTTGTTTTCTCCCCAGTTGATCGTTTTGATAAATAGTGCCATAAATGGAAAAAAAACCCTAAACTTGCCTTTTCATTTATTATTATTTTAAATATCAGGAACTGTATAGAGATCTGTCATTAGTCCAAAGAGTGGTTTGATTCCACACTGTCTTTGCATTTTAGCTAATTAGGGTTAAGGGTTTTAAAAAGTGCATTTTCCTGTACAGGGTTATTTTCCTGTAGCTAGCAGATACCATTGTGCTTTTGAAATAGATCAAATACCATCACAAAATATCATTTTGATTTTTTTTTTTAAGGAAAGTGAAGAGACAGTGAGGGCACCTTGTATGTGAATGTATTTATGAAGAAAATTTGAAGGGGGCAGGCAGAATGGGTGGATCTTTCTTTGGCCTTTTACATTTTCAGGGCATTAACACAGTCTGTATCCACAGGGCAATGCATTTCAGCCACAGGTAACTTTCCATACAGCTCCTCCTACTCTCATCACCCAACTCTTCCCCACCCCATAGTATGGATGGCTATTTGACCATCCATAAATAGGGCTTCACTGTGTCATGGGAATCTGCCTCTGTAATTCAGGAAGTGGAACTCTTAGCACCAATACGAACTGCCTGTAGACCATTTGGTCAAGTTGTTCCTGGACTGTGCCACTTTAGAAAGCAGGTGCAGAAATCTGGTTGGTTGTCGTTCCCACATAACAGCCATACGGATATTCCCCAAATACACTCCATGTAGAAAACCAGATGTTCAGGAAGAGGCCGGTTTTCTTTGTGCAGGGGTATTGTGTGTGTTTGGTGGCTGAGCCCTACCTCATTTTCAATTTGACATGGTTTATAGTCCAGGGCCATGGGCTCTGCTGTGTTTGGAGTCCAGCACTCGCTGCTGATCATTGGGCAATGCAGGAACAATGTTGAACCGGCTTCATCTGAGCAGATTCAAAGAGAGGCATAGTCAGAGGATAAACGTGTTGTGTTCCCCCCACTTTTTATGACTTGTTTCTCTCTAAAAGCAATAGTTGCACATAACCAAAAACTTGCATTTTATTTGCTCCCCAAATCAGCCCACCACCCCAGTGCAGATCAGGACACCCCTGACTTGTCAGTACATTTCCATGATTTTTGATTCACTCTGACCTCGTGACACTGGCTCCAACAGGCAGAATAAAGAGACCCAAGGAACAAAAAAGAAACCCCTCCCACTCATTTCTCACATTAATTGTTTGAGGATTCTGCTGGCCTTTGCGGCATGAAAGTTAGAAACAAATTAAGAAAGGTACCAGTAATTGTTTTTTGGTGGACCAACCAGCTGATCTGTCTTAAAAATAAAGCGCCGTACTTCCAACTCTCATTGTATGAGATAGGCAAAGGAACACCTATCTCCACTGAGATTTGGCCAACTTTCCTTCATATAAGGACCACGCAGAAATGTATCCTGGTTAAGCAAAAGCAAGACTCTGTGCTGCAAAAATGCCCATTTTTGAACAACGGTAACAAGTACGTTTTGAAATGGAATGGTCCACATTAGTGCCACAGGGCACCACAGTCTGATGTTTGTTCTTGCCTATTTCCAGAGCATTTTAAAGTTGTTTTGATCTATGGAACTCTGTACTGTAGCACTTCAGAATAGAGGTATGTTGGTATGGTTGAGCAGTCCTCTACATAATACTGTCCCTGCATGTAGGACATTAAACACATGAGATAAAAATTCAGTGTAGCCGACTCCCCAATGTGCCAGCTTGCCAAATGCAGGGAGGTTTTTGTTTTGTATAGGGAAATGTTTAGAGTCCCACACCTCTAAATCTGAAGTGGTACAAACCTAAGTTGGCTTGCTTTGAAAGGTGTTTGCACCAACCCTCCACCACAAAACTTGCATATTTGCATTGAAGTTGTCAGGATTAACAAACTAAATATTTGCCATTGGCCTGTGTCTTCCTGGCCCTCATTTGCCTTTTGACTTGATGACCAACATATATAGGCCAGAAATCCAGTGGCAAGTTGGTCCAAAGGGTTATGTGATCATTGTGCAATGCCCAGAACATAAATACAGGTTTCCTTTTGTCTAATCAAATGAGGGGTGAGCTGAAATAGCCTCCCCAATCTGCCACCCCTGTTCACAAGGTCAGCCAGTTCAGTGGTTTTCAAAGCATCGCACATGGCTTTGGGCAGCGTTGACTGATGCCCATTGAGACAGTTAGGGAGAAAAGCAGGGAGGCCAGCAATAAGTGGAGCCAGAGTCATTGTCAGGCAGAGCCCTCCCCCCTCCAGCTGCCTGTGGGCAGTCATGTTGGTAGGGCAGTGACTCATTTCTCCCAATGGGAGTAGCTTCAACATCACAAAGTTGGAAAACAGACAGGAGGATGCACCCAAAATCAGTGCTGTATGTTCTGAAGATCCTTGGCAAGAAACTAGTGATATGAAGAAACCTCCATTTTTCTCTCTACACCCTAGAAAGCTACAAGTCGGATCAAAACAGTATTTTCAGCCCATTGCTGGGAAAGATCTGCTGTACGGTTTGTTGCTGGGGATGTGGTGGTGGTGGTCAGCTCACAAGCCTTATCCTAACCCATGAATATGGGCAAACCTGATGCCTTGAGTGATGTGTGCAGTGAGATAGGCCCAGCGTAGAAGGGTCAGGCAAATGATCCACAAAGGAAGTCAGTCAGAGAAGCCTTGATCTAGGTCATTTGTTCCCAATTAGGAGTTCAGGGGTCCGTGGAACGCAGCCAGGGGGTGTGTGGCCACAGCCCCATCCCTTACCTCCCCCCCCCCAACTAAATTTATGTTGTTTTTGCATGCTAATACCACAATTTTTATGGTCTGTTTTGGAGGTGTGCGATTTTTTCAATATATTGGCCAAAATCCATTTTGAAATAACACCGCGATAACAATTTTTGCCCGGAAATACGCAGGAAAATATCGCTCCTCGCATTAGGGAGAGCAGGGCAACCAACTTCAAGGCACTGCCGATATCGCACGATGATCTCAGCTGATAACACTGCCGATCTGAGCTGCCTTCCCTCATGCTGAGGGAAAACGGGGCAGTGGATTGCGAGACGCTGCTTTCCCCACATGTTGACCGGACAGCTGATTGCCCTCCCTTCAAGGCACCGTGGCACTACCTTCCCCTGGCAATTAGGTGGAGCAGTTTTTCTCAGTCAGCAGGAAAACAGCCACAATGGATGTGCATCTTCGCTGGTGCCACCGCTGGCTACCCCACTGAGGGCAGCTTGATACACCCCCATCCTCATTCCCTCCCCCCAAGCCATGTTGTGGAGGTGACTCCGCTTCGTCTCCCCCCCCCCATCTGATCTCCGTGACTGCTTCTTCCCTCACCACCATGCCTGATTTCCAATTTCAGAAATCATGATATATCAGAATATTGCAATGTTTAGCTGCTGATATATCACAATGTTGAAAAACGGATGTCGCTTAGCTCTAGCCTGTTTCTTAGTATACCTAAAATCCTCTGCACTTTTTGTTCATGAAATTGCTTTGGAGAAGTAACTACCACAGAGTTATCAAAATTTTCAAAAGTAGGGGGTCCATGGCTTGGCTTTTGAAAAATAAGGGGTTCTCAGTAATTGGCTAATTGGGAAGCACTGATCTAGGTTGTGTAGCATTAGCCAAGACCTGGGGGGCAGGTGGAGGACACAACCTCTTCAATCCTCTTGGAGCAGGGGAGAGAGGTACGAATTGCAGGAAAGGGGCCCAGATGGCTATTTGCTAGTTTAAAATTAGCATTCTTTTTTTCTACTTCCCTTTTCCCCACATCATGGCCAAACGCTGCCATCTCTTACAGCATAATAAATATAATTTAAGAGCAAAGGTGCCACTGCCAAAGGCAGTGTTCCTCTCAAAGTAGAGATCTCTTTTCCCTGGTTGTGCCCAAGTATGTAGTTCATGCCTGCTAGGATGGGGACGGGAGAGAGGAATCCATCAAGGGTGAAAATGGCAACCATTGTCCTTATCAATAACCTTTGGAAGTCCGCCCATTGGTCTGATCCTTGACTCCTGGAGGGAGCTTCCTGGGCAGGCATTCTTTTGCCTTCATCGTCCTTGCCTTCCATCCGCACAACCTGCGAGGCTCTGCACTTTGGACCAAAAGTGATGCCAACTCCATGACTTCTGTGCTTTTTCTTTAAAACAAAAAACAAAACAAAAACAAAACTGGTTTGTCTCCAGAGGGTCAGTTGTGTTGTTTTCCTTCTTCATTCAAGAGTCTACGAGGAAGTTCAGGTAAGTCTGAGCAGTTTCGGTCAGTTTGAGAGTAACTGAGCTGAATAGCCAGTCTATTCGACGTATCCAGGCTGTTCTTGGAGGCTGGCTGGCTGGCTCAAGGACTTCGCGAGAGGGAAGAGGCTGCGGATTAAAACATCAGCTTGAATGTCACAGATTTGCCTCTCGAGGGCAAGATGCTGTTCTTTTGCTTCTGACCAAACCTTATATTTAAGTATTATTTTATCAAGTCTTTGGCTAGAATGACACCTCAACCGAACCTTGATGTTTCTAAATGAAAATGGGAGCTTTTTGCCATATTCTAACTCTCTCTTCTATAACAATTCGTACCACCATAATGTCACAATGCTATGCATTTCCTTCCCTGCCCTCACCAACCAGCAAATGGGAAAACACATCACTCTGGCCGAATGACACCATATATATATTTATGTTTTTAAAAATGTTTACCCTGCTTTCCCCCATGTGTCTCAAAGCAGCTTGCAGGGTAAAAAACACACACATTTTAAAAAAAGTTGTGCTAAACATTACAAAGGAGATGGTGAAACAGACCCACAGCTAATGGTTTGTGACCATAGTGATGTGAATGTAGGAATTCTAAAAAATGATACCTGCTATTTGTTTTCTCTCTCTTTGCAACACAATGTCAAATTTCCACGTTTGGATCTGTGAAGCCTTTTTTCCCCTCGTTCACCAGCACGGGTTTCTCTGTCCTTGTGTGCCAAACAAGGATCTGCATGAGAAGAAGGGAGGAAAGAAGTTAGATCTCTATCACCTGAACATTAGCAAACCAGCAGCACAGCGAACCAAATCCCCCAGAGGCTAAGTCTCAAATTCCCCAAGTCTCAAAACCTTGGAGTAAGTTGGTGAAAAGCCTTATGGGTCTTTTCTCCTCCTTCCTCTTCTGTTTCTTGTGAGCCAATAAGACAGGGAAATGGAGCATGGGCAGAAATGACCCATTTTATGGCGTCGTGTTTCAGGGCATTAACCCCATCCTTCGGCACACTTGCTGACTGACCTGTGCACTTGTCTTATCAACAGTCACAATCCTTGGGCTTATCCATCTTTTTGCCAGCCCTTACATTTTCCTGTGACGTATGATTTGCTGTAGAGACACCAGCTACCTTTTCAGTGGAGGTATGAGAAAATACCCCCCTTGAACCCATTCCCATGTAAGCTTGCCCAAAGGCTAGGCAAGATCTGTGCAACTGGCAACCCAATGAGTCAGATGTGCTGCTAGCCATTATTTGGGGCCTGGCAGATGCTTGGCAAATTGCTCTCCCCTTGCTTTTTCAGTTCCAGATGTGGAGCAAGAAAAGAAAGGGGAGCCTCTGAGGGCTGAACTGAGTGACTGAGCCACCAGCTGCCGATCTCTCCTGTACCTGAATCACTTGTGCAATTTGACAGATCAGGTTGACTTGATCCATCTCTAGTGGAGTTTTAATTGGGCTCAGAACCGCTGGTTTCTAGCATTAGATGCCATCACTCCAAGTGCAAGAGCTGTTGTACCCATTATTGTATTCAAGTTACCAGATTGAGACTCACAGTCATTTCTCCACCAGATTGCTGCTTCTGAGCTGCTAAGATTGTCCGTGTTCTGCAGTGCAGACCAGCCCAGTTACCTGTGTCCAAGTAATGGTTGAGAAAATTGGTGCAAGTTTCCCTAAAGTGGCAGACTTATCAACAAAATCTGCTCCAGAAACAAGAGTTTGATTGGCAGTGTGCCTATAGTTAAAAATAAAATGGACTCCTCTCATAGTCTCTTGCGGAAATGAATTGGAATGTTGCACACACAGGGAGGAATGTATTTTTGTATTATTTCTCTTTCTCATATAGCAGGAGTGGGAATCTCTACAGCCTTCCAGGTCCCTTTGCTTGGCTCTCTGAACTCTTCCACAGGTTGAAAAGGATTTCTCGCCCCCTGTTGTACATCATGCTGGCTGCAGGTGTATGAGCAGCAGATGCCAGGTACCAAATGTTGCTTTCTGCCAAGCAGGAGCGTAACCTCCCTGGGCCCCATTCTCAAACTTGGCAAACTCCCTCCCTAAGCAAAGGTCTGTGCCCAGTGACTCCTTTGTTTACAGGTTCCTTCTCCCCCTGCTCTTTCTGTCTGCTGCCGCCACCGTGGCCCTTTGGAGAGAAACCCTCCCGTTCCCCTTCAGCTCTTCCTCTTGATGCTCCTCACCTCATCCTGTTGCCATGACAATGAACTGCATGTTCAATCGATCCCGTTTTATGCTCAAAGCTGTAGGCTCCTTTTACTGCCTGGCAAGAAAGATGGCCTGGCTGTCTGGAAACGGGAGTCAGGGCTGCTTATGGAAGATGAAAGGACTTCTGCCGGCTTGTGGGGCAGACCCTCCTCCTTCCCCCTTTCCCAACTTTTGATACAGGGTCCCCCCCCCCATTAAAATGAAAGGCGCACTTCACTCTGCAAGAGAGAGGTGTTCTCAACTGGCATGTGGAACAGAAGACAGCAGTGGCGTAGCGTGGGGGGTGCAGGGGGGGCCGGCCGCACCGGGCGCAACATCTGGGGTTAGGGCAAATCCATGGGTTAGGGGGCACAAATTCACGGGTTAGGGGGCACAAATCCACGGGTTAGGGGGCGCAAATTACTTGCCTTGCCCCGGGTGCTGACAACCCACGCTACACCACTGGAAGACAGGCCTCCCTCCTCCCAGTCACATACACTGTGGTTCATAAAAATGGGTTTTTGCCCTTTTCTTATGGCTTAGGCCCAGGTTCAGGCTGTGCTGCAAACTGCAAAAAAGACCAAAGGCTCTTGATAATTTGTTTTGTTTGTTTTTGGCCTTTGGGACCACATGAAAGCAAATCAGCGGTCCCCCAAACCAGAGGGGAAGAGCCACCCGTGGAAGTCCTCCAAAACAGAAGCACAAGGCTGGGGTAGTTTGCTTCCTCCAGAGGAGACCTTGGGTAAAGAAGCCCCAACGGTTCTGGATGTAGAATATATGGAAGCAAAATGGTACCTTAGTGCAATTGGCAGCTTTTGGCTCGAGGTCGTTCAGGGTCACCAGCTCCCGGAGCAAGCTACTCTCTTGGTACCCGCCCTTCACTCCTCGCAGTTTGAAGTAAGCCTGAGGTCGCTGGAGGATGAGCCTGAGGTTCACAGCAAAGCCTGCCATGTCAATGGCAAAAGGCCGGTGAGGGTCAAATACAGTCTTCCACCCGTAGACCTTCCCGGCAGCATTCACTTTGGGCGACTCGTAGCGCAAGCCGCCCACAAAGGCCACCGGCCAGACTGACACTTTCCTGGTAGTCCGCATCTGGAAATGAGGAAAGAGAGAGAAAGAGTAGGCATAGAACGTTCTGTATGAAGTTGTACAGTTGGCTCTACCATCTCAGGTCTTCACCACCTCATTCCCACTGCATTTTTCTGCTGGTGCAGAACAGGTCATAAAACAGATGAAATGTCGGTGGGTGTTTACATCTTCCTTAGTCACCAAAATCCCTGCATTTGAAAAGCTAGCACACATGGGAGAAAACTGCTGTTGCTGTTGTTTTAAAAAAGCAAGATGTACCATTCAGACACAGCCAGCCAGAAGTGGCACAGGCCCACTACGAATGTACCACACGATAATCAAAATGTGTCATGTCTGCTGAGTCTCTTTATGGACACCCCTTATCAAGTTGCCCCATGTCTTGAGGCAGGAAAACAAAGGTTTAATCCCCAGCATCTCTGAATAGGGCTGGGAAAGAATCCTGTTTGAATCCCTGAGTAGCTACTGCCATTCAGTGTAGACAGAACTGAGCTAGAATGACCAATGATCTGGTCCAGTAGAATGCAGCTTCCAATGATGGGTAGGGTAGTAACTCAATGACAGGCCATCTGCTTTGCATGCAGAAGGTCCCAGGTTCACTCCCTGGCATCTCCTGGTGGGGTTGAGAGATTCCGCCTGCCTGAAATCCTGGGAAACCACTGCTAATCAGTGTAGAGGATACTGAGCTCAATGGACCAGGGGTCAGACTCAGCATAAGGCAACTTCCTATGTCCCTAAGTGACATGAAAACTGTTCCGCAAAGAGCTTCTGCAGAATTCTCCACAGCTTCTAAAAACGGCTCGCTCTTCCTTCTTCCGCACCAGAGGGCCACAGGTGGGAGCTGTCTCTCCGCCGAAGCTGCGGCTGCTCGCTTAACTTGCTTGGTGCTCCACGAGGCTCCGTCTCCCCGATCTTTCATCAAGTCTCTCGTCACTGCTAATTACAGCAAGAGAGCCCGGAGGAGTCCAAGGCACTTAGCCTCTTGCATTATACACTTGCTAAGAGCTCAAGCCACCCACGGGGCCAGCAGAAGAGAGAGACACCAATAAAAGGTTTGCTCTGAAGCAAGCCCTGCTGGCTTCCAGTCTGTCTCCCCCAGCCGCCCGCCGCCCCATGCAGCGGAGCGTTTGCAGGAAAGGGAGACAGAGATGCCACAAAACGCAGCCACCTGATTTTGCAGAGGGTCTGCAAAATGGCTTTCCTCATACACGAGCATCTGTTGGCAGCAACAGCAAAAACAGAAGCAAAGCCTGAGAAACATCCTGCAAAAAATAAGATAAGGGGGAGGGGAGTTCCGTATTACATGTGCAGCTTCTAAACTGCATCCACTGTGTACTGAATTATATTTCCCCTCCTGGATGTGTCCACATTCAGTGCCACTTTCTGTCATTCCCTTCAACAGCTTTCACCAACCTGCTGCCCCCAAAATGTTGCTTAACGATGACTCTCATCAGCTGTTTGCTGCAAACCTGCGCTCTTCCAAGTCTGCTGTTACCCTGAGCTCCCCCCCCCAAAAAAATCTGGCTTTCTGAGGCCTTCCTTAGACAACCTGCTTGTCCAATATTTCATCCTGGTTTGCTTATATAAAGCTAACACGGAAATCAGACAATAGCCAGTCTTTATTTCATTTTGTTTGCAGGGTGGTTAGATGACAATGAGCATTTATCCTTATTTGCTTGCAGGATGTGCATAGTCTTTCCACTAATCATTCATTTCCCCAAATGTTTCAGTGCATTTCCTCACCACACAAAAAATAACAATTTAAGAGTATTTTATTTGTGCAAATCTAAAATTATGGTATGTTCTTGAGTTCCTCCTGCAAAATATATAACAGTTGGGATGCACCCTCTTAAAGGCATTCCTATTCCCCCAGTTATATGTTCCTCCAGAATTCTCCTCAAAATCGACCTTGTCCATAGCGCATTGGGCTTCAAGTTGGTCCACACGTGCCACAAATTAAGATGGGAGACTCTGGGGCCAGGGGCCAGTTGGGAGATGAAGGACTGTGTGTCATCTTCAGGAGGTTGGCAGGTGGTGGGTATCACTTGTCCTGTGACCTTTAAGGTAAAGGGACCCCTGACCATTAGGTCCAGTCATGGCCGACTCTGGGGTTGCGGCGCTCATCTCGCTTTACTGGCCAAGGGAGCCAGCGTACAGCTTCTGGGTCATGTGGCCAGCATGACTAAGCCACCTCTGGCGAACCAGAGCAGCGCATGGAAATGCCGCTTACCTTCCCACCGAAGCGGTACCTATTTATCTACTTGCACTTTGATGTTCTTTTGAACTGCTAGGTTGGCAGGAGCAGGGACCGAGCAACAGGAGCTCACCCTGTCGCGGGGATTCGAACCACCAACCTTCTGATCGGCAAATCCTAGGCTCTGTGGTTTAACCCACAGTGCCACCCACGTCACACCAATTCCCTGCAAGCAGCGGCGTAGCGTGGGTTGTCAGCACCCGGGGCAAGGCAAGTAATTTGCGCCCCCTAACCTGTGGATTTGCGCCCCCTAACCCGTGGATTTGCCCTAACCCCAGATGTTGCGCCCGGTGCGGCCGGCCCCCCCTGCACCCCCCACGCTACGCCACTGCCTGCAAGTAGCAAGTTCCTCTGTCCTAGCTCCTTGCTGTCCTACAGTCTACATAGAAGGTAGGTTTTTTTAAAAGTGCAAAATGAGCATTCAGGGATGGCACATCTGATCTGCTGTTTGAAGATCTGTGGCACCGTCTGCTCTACCACCCCAGGACTCTTGTCATCTCGCTCCCACGTCTCTCAATGCATCATAAAGTCATACATTTTTAGTACTTGTTCCCCTACTGAAACAAAAGCTAAGTAAATGAAACTGATTTTACTTTTCTTTGATCTTTTCTCTTTTTTTGCATGCACACCTCACTTCTTTTGTCTACACCCACCCTCACCCCCATCCACCAAGACTGTCTAAAATTAAATGACAAAGTCCCTGGAGAAAGGACATATGCGTTGTTTATGCTGCTATGAGCATCATGGGTACAGATGGTGCTAGATAAATTATAAAGTGCTGGATAAACAATAGTAAGATAACCCCAAAAGACTGAAGAGAGACAAAGGAATCTAGGGCTGGCCTTTTGAATGAATAATTGGTGAATCTAGAAGTGCAAGAGCTTATCATGACTGTCCCCATAGCCTCTGCCCCAAGGAGGGTCCAAAAATATAGGAAACACTTGCACAAACGCTAGAGAACAAAAAATGCAAAATATTAGGAGCAGCATGGTTGCAATCCTGTGTGTTCTTGGGAGAAATCTTTGAACTCACAGGTGCCTGATGTTGACTGTTCACCTTGCAAAACACACTCAGCCCCAGCAAAAGATCTTCAGCCAACTGGGATGCAACTGTTAGCTTTTAATTAAGAATGCAAACAATATTGCATAGATGTGTTGCTGTTTAGAGGACCAGCATGGCACAGGGATGCCAATGAAGGAAAGGAAAGATTCTCTTCCTCTGACTTCCTCGCTTATGCTAATCCATCACAAACAAAGCTGGAAACTCCATTGTTGGCCCATTCATTTGCTGTAGCAAGGAAAGTGTTGGTAGGTAGCCCGAAGCACCTGAAGATGACACCATAGCCCCTGCTCTGTACAAGTCCCAGAGCTGTGCTCCCTTTGTGTTTCCGCTCCACTCTACCACCAGGCTTGCCATTCCACACTGTAGCCTGTGCCTGTGGATCACCTGGTGCCCTCTAATATTTGACCAGCGAAACAACAGGCTCGTGAAAGGAAGAAGAAGAAGAGTTTGGATTTGATATCCCGCCTTTCACTCCCCTTCAGGAGTCTCAAAGCGGCTAACATTCTCCTTTACCTTCCTCCCCCACAACAAACACTCTGTGAGGTGAGTGGGGCTGAGAGACTTCAGAGAAGTGTGACTGGCCCAAGGTCACCCAGCAGCTGCAGGTGGAGGAGCGGAGACGCGAACCCGGTTCCCCAGATTACGAGACTACCGCTCTTAACCACTACACCACACTGGCTCTCAGGAGCAGAAGGGTCAAAGCTCTATGACAGAAGGCATGATTTGCCTGCAGAAAGTCCATGCCCTTCAAGTGTCCCGTTTTAAGTGGGACAGCCCAGGTGGTCAGAAGCCACCCCAGCTTCTGATCCCAATCCAGGACATCCTGTTTTGGCTCCCGTACTCTGGTCTCACCAGTCAGTTGGCTCACACCAGAGCGCAGCACCAAAGCTTACCTTGACCCTGCCATTCTTCTTCCTCCTTTTGTCATGGCACTTTGAGAAGCTGGCTTCCAGAAGTACACCTGCGGTGCTGGCAAAAGAGGAGGGGGTAGAGGCCGCACCAGCTGTGCTGCCTGGTGCAGCATCTCCTGATGCCCCATGGGCAAGTATCGCCTTATCCTATTATTTCACAGTGCCCACCTCTGAGCGAGCAATAGTCAAAACCTGGTAAGATGGAGGGGCCTCACTTTGAGCACAAGAACATGGGAAGAGCCAGTGGCCTATCTAGTGCAGCATCCTGTTCTCGCAGTGGCCAACCAGCACTGTTTCATATGAAACCCTCAAGCAGGATCCGAGCACAAGAGCACCTTCGCCTTGTGTGCTTCAGAAGCACCACTGCCTATGACTGTGGAGGCAGAGCATACTTATCATGGCTAGTAGACACGGATATCCTCATCTTCCATGAATCTGTTCAATCCTCTTTTAACGCCATGCACATTCGTGACCATCCCTGCCTCCTGTGGATGTGAGTTCCATAGTTTAACTAAGCACTGCATGAAGAACTGCTTTCTTTTATCTGTCCTGAATCTTCCTCGATTCAGCTCATTCAATGGATGCCCACAAATTCTAGGGTTATGAGAGACGGAGAAAAACTTTTCTCTATCCACTTTCTCTGTGCCATGCATATTTGCATATAGTGGTACCTCGGGTTACATACGCTTCAGGTTACATACGCTTCAGGTTACAGACTCCACTAACCCAGAAATAATACCTCGGGTTAAGAACTTTGCTTCAGGATGAGAACAGAAATC